GTAGAAAAAGTGTGTGTGTGTGTGTCCAAGTAAATTCTGACTTCAACAGATGTAAGTTTCTCCGTGTTAGTTTTTCTATACACAAAAATTAAGTAGCCCTTGTTCCCTGAGCAATTGGTACCTGCAAAATTTTTTCACTGCATTTTAGGTAGGAAGATAGGTAAGATTTGTTCTTGACTTTCTGTATTTGTGAAAAGTTTCTGTCTCTGGCATGAAGGGTGGAGGTTCTGTTTTCATATTGTATGACTGATTCATGGAGGGGACAATGGATGCATTTTTAAGGCAGTACCGCGTAAGATGTCTGAGTGGGTGTGGCCCTCTCATAATTGATATAAAACAGATAATGCAGAATGGAACACAGACAAGTTGAGTGACTGATCACTGACATGCAATTATGGAGTGCAGGGCCCTGCACCTGGAGTTCCTTTTGAGAGAAGCTTTCTAAAATTTGTGTGACAATTTGATGGAAATAAAGTGGTGGCTTGATTGGAGGCGTGGGGGCTGTCCTGCCATCTCTCCATCTCCCTTCTGTATTGACTGGTGCCATGGGACTTGGAATGATTGACTTACGTAGCTGAAACACGAACCCGAGTTTCTGTTGAGTTGGACCTACAGACTTCTGCATTTTTCTTTGGGATCCGTCTTGCTGTTGTGGGAACACGTTGATAGTATCGCTGAATGTCACAATATTGATCACCGTGACTACCTGTCTCAGAAACTGTGACTTGAAGCGTTACAGGCTCTGTGAACTCTTCTGCCTGAACAAGCCTTGATAAAACCTAGTGATGAGAATGTCAAGGGAATCTGAGGCTTGGAATTACATGCTGGGTTTATGGAGCAGTTCTTGACAGATGAATTGATTGGAGGGGGCGGTCCTAGCCATTCTGGACACCGGGCCCACGGGCCTATTGTTACAGAAAATATGTTAAGGAAAGAAGATGATAAGTTACTGACTTTTCTCCCTCCCTTCTGCCTTCATTCTTTGCAGTTTTTCCTTCCTCATTGCCTTCTCTCCCTGCTCCCTTTTCTTTTTAACTTTCATTAACTTATTAGTCAGTGACAAATGGCCAGTTTGTGACACTTAGCCTTTTTCCAAAGCTTCAGGTTAATGTTCCAAGATAATTAGCTACATTTCAAGGTCTCCTTTATATGTGAATAGCATTGAAAGTACCAAATTGTTTATTTTGTATAACCTTCACTAATGACCAGCAGAAGTCCTTGCCGAATCAGAAGTCATGATTTCTTTGTTTAAAACACATAATAATAGGGGCGCCTGGGTGGCGCAGCCGGTTAAGCATCCAACTTCAGCCAGGTCACGATCTCGCGGTCCGTGGGTTCGAGCCCCGCGTCGGGCTCTGGGCTGATGGCTCAGAGCCTGGAGCCTGTTTCCGATTCTGTGTCTCCCTCTCTCTCTGCCCCTCCCCCGTTCATGCTCTGTCTCTCTCTGTCCCAAAAATAAATAAACGTTGAAAAAAAAACACATAATAATAAAAGTATAGGCTCCTTTCCTGTAGAGATGAGAGGATGCTTAAGAACTTTGTTTGGTACAGCATGTAGCTAAAATTTATGAAATTTGGTAGCAGTATGTTCTCACTGCCACCCAGAACTAGTACTCCTCCAGGTCAGGGTCCTGCTGGAGTTAAAGTGCCTGGTGTGTTTGCCAGCACTGCAGGACTAAGCTCTAGAACAAGACTGGACTGTGGAACTTAGAGAAGCCAGCTAAAGTGCACAACAACTCTCCCTTTATTAGCTAGTCCTTAAAAGAGTATACAGGGCTTCTGCACACCTGAATGACTCCACTGCTAGAGCTCACTTAACTTTAGACTGTTGGTTTTCAAAATGCAGTGATAGATGTTTAAGTGACAGAAGGCGTCAGTGCTTCCCTCAGACCTTGATTTTTTTACAAAATTTCATAGGCATACACAACTCCACGCTTGGTATTCCTCTAATGTGAACATAGCAAGGAGTGCAGGAGCAATGCATTTTCTGTGTGGCACTCTGAAATATACCAGAATCTTCTTTCAAAGAAAATTTTGCCCAGTTCGTACGACCTGACCTGTGTCCAATCTGCACGGCTTTCTTCTCTTCCTGGTTTTTTGGGTTTTTTTTTTTTGTTTTGTTTTTCTTTTCCTTCTCTCAAAGACTAATCTAAGTTTGCAAGTATTTTGATCCCTATGCCTCCCCACTGGTTCTACAGGCTTTGTTTCAAGCCCTGGGGGAGGAACAGTTGTGAATGTACTGTGACTCACTGACTCCCACTTTCGTGATTCTGGTTCTGATTGGTCGTCACCTTGTTCTAGCCATATGGCTGCCTAGTACTCTAGCCTGCATCCCTTTCTCGTTCTTTCCCCTACTGTTCCCTTCTGTTGTACACAACACTGGGAGTGGGTTCCGGGCTTTGTCTCTTGCTTCTGGTTTACCCCAGTTAGGCAGTAAGTGGGAGGGTGCACTGTGTTTTCCCAAGGGTGGCCGTAGAGGAAAAAATACCCTTTCCTTTTGTGCCTGGTATAGTAATTACTTCGTTTCCTGTGCTGTTTCTGTTCAAAGTTTATTTTTTGGCAGGTGTCACATTTGTATTATATTACTTCCTCATGGTTTCTCTCCTTCCCCTGAATTAAGCTATTTTTTCTTTTTCTTTTTCTTTCTTCTCTTTTTTTCTTCCTTTCCTTTCCTTTCCTTTCCTTTTCCTTTTCCTTTTCCTTTTCCTTTTCCTTTCCTTTCCTTTCCTTTCCTTTCCTTTCCTTTCCTTTCCTT